TTCTTTATTATTATTATTATTTTTTACTGACATATGCGTCCGAGCTTGCATTAGTCAACGTTCAACACACTATTCTCAACTTCTCAGACAGCTTGTAGCCTTTTTATATTTTACATGACGTTGCGCCGACCTTATTGGTCTTTTTTCCAAAACCGATTGATCTGCCCCCATCCAAACCTCTTATTTCACTGGTCCCTATAACCTGCACTACCAATTGTTTTCAGGGATAGGGGCATTGTTATGTCACCATCCCTATTGTTTTCCCAGCCAATCACAAACTTTCTTTGAAATAGGTGGAGGACGGCCCTCCAAAACAATGAACGACAGCCATGTTGGTTAGGCAAGCGACCAAGCCTATCCCTTGCCTAGTCCCTAGGCCTCATTATTGCACGCGGCCGATGCGTTTAGGATCACGTGATCTGAGCAAGGTTTTGAGCGTTGGATACTTCACCAAAATGCATTGACCAAGAAGGCCTAGGAAGACGCAGAACAAGGATTAGGCAAGCCAATCCCTTAAGAGTTAAACTCATCTCAATCTTTGATTTCTATTTGCTCTCGTTTCACAGTTCTGAAAGTTGAGTTGTACTGGAATGGCGTTCTCGAGCATGCGCACGTGTTGAGTCTAAGAGCTTTTAATCACTTTATATGAACGGTATGTCATACAAGGAACATCCGTAACCTGACAGGTAAAAACTTTCACATGTCAGGTAATAAAAGCTACCTTGAAGAGTGTAATCACCACACAAATACCATGGTTGAAATTAAATCCGTCCGGTGTATATGTTGTAGTTATTTTTTTTTATCTCAGGTAATTTTTGGTTTGCTTTTGCTTTTGGGTATGTTAATGTACGCTAATGAAGTTGAAACAATAAGAAAAATAAAAATTACGTTAGGTTAAAAAAAAATTAACTACAACATTTACATTTAATAAAGTAAAAAGTCTCATATGTAGAAATTCAAAGGGGAGTTACTCAATGTGATAGCGAATAAAGCATCGAAATTAAAATGAGGCTGCCAGGAGTCAGACAAAGCCATCTCTTGTTTTTGTCTTTTCGTTTGCTTGTTTTTTTTTTTTTTTTTTTCCTCAAACGTTGGTGCTGGGATTCCTCTTCAGAAATTTATCGGGATGATAATTTTGATTTTTAAACATATGGTTGGTATGACGAATACACTCTTTTATTATTTTAGTTTCTTTTATTGGTAGGCATATGGAATTTTGAATTTAGCCACTTTCCTATGAAGTCTACTTACAATACTACGTTTTTTCTACGATCGATGGTCCTGCTTAACTTATTTTCTCATAAGACATACTCTGTGATCCGCTTTTTTACTTACTTAATGAATTTATATATTCATTTACTAATTAATTAATTATTATTATTATTATTATTATTATTATTATTATTTCTACTGTTTTTGGAATAAATGCGAAAGGTCAAGGTTTTCTCTATAAAAAAACTCCTTCTACTTGAGTTTACAGCAAACAAGTTTTAAATAAGTGAAAAGCCACCTAGTGGAAATGCTGAATAAAGCCAGTATTATTATTATTATTATTGTTAATATTATTAATATTAGTATTATTAAATCTCAGCTAAAAACGACGAAGACTAACAATTAGCAAAACGTTCTGTTTCATGATTTTTTGTTCTTTTGTTTTACGTCATTTGTGTCCGGAACACGAAGTTAATGCCCATACTTGTATTACTACGCTTTTCACAGATATGTGAACTCTAAAGTTCAAAAGCCGTCTTATGGAGCGTATTCACTCACGTGGCGAGAATCCGCGCAAATTTATCGGAACAAAAGAAGTTTTTTACATAAGTATGGCTGCCGTAACGTCATGTGAATACGCTCTATAGTCTTTACAATTGCGTTTTCCGCTGCCGTCAATCATAATTACGATCACAAGTAAGGGATCTTGAAACACAGAAACACACAAAACGGATCGAAATGCACCAATCACAGATCACAAACCATGACCTTTTGAACCCATTTAAGTAAAGTTCTGTTTCCTGAGAGGTCCTCTAAGATGATTGACAGAAGCGAAAAACGCAAACACCAGTTGGCTTTTGACCTTCAGAGATCGCTTGTTTTTGAAAAGCGCGGTAGAATCGCAAAGGCATTATTTTTCCGGCTTCGTTAACATTTTGTTCTGAAACTTTCCCCGTTGAACGCGCTACGCAACTATGGCGATCGATGAGGAAACCTACGTGGTGTAAGAAAACACCTGCAAAGAGTCACCCGGCTGCTCCGTTCCCCTGATGGACCAGAAATTTATTTTCTGGCCAATCAGAACCAGGCAATTCAAACGCCGGCAAGAGTAAGTGCCCAGGGCCCGGTTGCATGAAACGCCTGTAACAGTTACGGGTATCCGTACGTGTACTCGCAACTTAAGTGACTTGCATTAAATCACTTAAATGGCCCACTTAGGGAATTCAGTCATAGACAAGTGGCTGCACTTACGATTTTCCTTAGTGGTCACTTAATATAAGAGTCGTTTATGAACGGAAATTGCGGGTGTTACATAAAACTTCCTTTACGGGAAAAATAGCACGTAAATTTAGGGAACCTATGTAGGTTCCGTATCCTTACTGTATTTATTGAAGCTAAAGAGATCTTTTACTGAGAAGTGAATAAAGTCTGCGCGCTTTGTTTAACCTCCAAGAAATATTTTATATCGAAGTTTCTTTTTCGTTTTTTTTTTTTAATGATGAAACATTTTCTCTTGCTGATATAAAACTTTATCTGAGTAAAAACTACCTTTCCTTATTCATTAAACAGAGGCTTAAAAGTGTTCTAAACGACTAGACACTCTCTTTACACTCACCGATGGTTAAAAACGAAAAAAGAGTGGGTCATTAATAAATAAAGTACTTATAACAAAGTTACGCGTGCCCTTAACTGAGCCCGTAAGTTATCACGTACTGAAAACACAAATTTGCTTGAGTGCTAAGTGCTACCATGCAACACCCGTAAGTGTACCCATAACGGATTAGCAAGTCACCTAGCTATTCAATTGCGGGCTTTATGGAACCGGGCCCAGGGGCTCTTGTCGATCACATAGTACACTTTCACTTCGAACATTCTATCTTCCAGATTAGCAGTTCCTGGGTCTCCGAGGATGGTGTCATCCAAACACTTCTTACTTTTTCAAAGAAAATTTTACAATCGACTAAATGCTTGATCATCACAAGAAACTCAGCATGCACACTTGATGTGTCAAGCTTGTAAAATTAAGTTACGTTATGTAGCAATGGATCCCATTGACCCTAGCAACTGTTACTAACCCACAAGTTGAAATATCATGTGTACAATAATTCAGAGAAGAAATGATATATTCCTTGGTCGTGATTGGAACCAAACGCAATTCAACAATAATCGAACTCAGAATTACCGTGAAGAATAAAAACGTATAGAAGATAAACACAAACAACACACTTTTTATACTAAATTAATAGAACACCCCTTGCTGTGCCAAAAGGTGTGTCAGGGGTAACCAGCGACTGTTTTCGGTGAATTAACTTTTCGAGGAAGCAAATATTGGCCGTTTTTATGCTAGAGACGTTAAAGTCGTCTAGACGAATTTAACGTCTGAGACGTTAAAGTCGTCTAGTGTAAAAACGGGACGCACAAAAGTAGACGATCTTATTTAAAAAAGTAGATTTTTCTGAAAAAAGGACTAGGTTCTACTCTCGGAAGACACTGGACACGAGTTAAAGCGGCGCCAAAAATGAACTTCAAGCTAGCAAACTTCCTAGTTTACGACGTCCCGTCTTTATACCAGACGACTTTAACGTCTGAGACGTTAAAGTCGTCTGTTAAGTGCGTCGTTCGGACGCACTTAACAGAAGACGTTAAAGTCGTCTGCCTTATTTACCGTTTTTATACTAGACGTTAAAGTCGTCTTAAGACGACTTTAACGTCTCAGACGACTTTAACGTCTCTAGCATAAAAACAGCCATTGCCTAGAATTTTCCTGCTGGAGAAAGACTAAAAATTTTTAGATTACCGTTCCTTTCAGGTACAGTTTTCGAAGCTTATCTTATATGTTCCCTACGATTTTCTGAAGTTCAGTTTCCGCTCTCCTACGCCCACAAGCATTGACTGACGACGGTGATGTCAAAAGCACCGATCAAACACACGGTCCATTACTCGCAAACTGTCGCCTTTCTGGCTATCAGAAACAAAAACAGCAGCATAATTATAAACCACAGGAAATAACTGCAAGGGCAAAAAACAACTTCAATAATTTAAGACTCAGTGCGGCAAGAGTTAGATTTGCTCAGTCAAAGTTTAGTTTCTGTCCAACCACAGCGGCGAGAAAGAAAAGAGTGAAAACGTGTTGTTCAAACCAAATTCCAAGGTGACGAGCTTATGAACGCAATGTTCATGTGGTAAACGTGGGAAAAGCCACCACATTGGACTGGGAACAGGCGCTTTATTTTTCTCCTCGCCTCGTCACGCGCTTCGCACAAAATCCCGCGTTCGCCTCGCTTGGCTATAAGGCGCCTGTTATGCAGGCTATTTAGTTTTATCGTTTAAGCGTTTTTAAGTGTGGACGGGCAGACACGATTCAAATACGCCACGTGTGGACGCGTGAACCAAATGTAAACACAGATCGGAGACCGGTGTGCGTCGCGTGCTAGTCCTGTGTTTGGCACCATTGTTGCACCAAAACGAGTAAAATAATCTGGAAAGTCTGTAATCGCTAAATTAAGATACATTTGCTTTTGATGTCCAGGATATCGATTGAAAACTACGATACTCGCAGACAGCTTCCGATCGTGTCACAGACCACCTCGAGCCTACGTGCGTGCCGTTCAATTTAAATAATAAACTAAAGCTATATGAATCAAAAGTAGAGTAATCGAAATGTTGAGTGACTCCGATGCTCTCTGCTTTGCAATATGTTTTAAAGTGATTTTTTTTTGGGGGAGGTGTAGTTTTTCTTTGAGTTCTGATGGTTTCTGCGGGCATGGGAATAAAAAAGACAACGGGACTCAAGAGAGATAAAATACCTCAACCTCGTCAGGTGAAAAGAGACGGGTTCCAGCCAGGATTGTACGACGGTCAGAAACTCCATTCGGAGGAGAGTAAGAGTCGCCAAAATTAGTGTGTGAATTACTATTCTGATTGGCATTATCAGCAATGTAGATGTCATACCCACGACCAAAGAATGGACCGTGTCTTGACCCACCGTGAATTGCATATGATGACAGACTGTTCTGTTTTACCATGCTCTTAAATGGTGCAAGTCCTTCCTTGTCCACCAGAGAGAAAATAAAGGACTTGAAAGTAGCAGCGTATCCATTCACAGACGCTGAAAAACAATAATAAACAAGAAAGAAAAACCTGAATTATAATTTCAGCTTTCAACTACCTGACATTTAACATTTCCCCCATGGGGGTGGGGGGTGGAGGGTTACTCGTCCAATATTTAAGTAGAGGTGAGCCGCTGAGGGTTGACCCTGTTTATAGGACAAAAGAAAAAATACATACCCTGTTTAGGACAAAGGACATGGACATAATTCACCACTTTATTTTTGCTTTCTCTCTTTATTTTTTCTATCACTCTTCATGCCGTAAGAATCAGCTTACTGTTTTAATTCTGAAATTTGACATGTACAGTGTTTAGGGAAGACTTTGCGAAATTGTTTACCCTGTTTAGGACAGAGAGGATGAAAATCATACCCTGTCCGGCGGCATATCCCCGTACAGGTCATATAAGGGATTATTCCCTTCCTGGAATTGCCCCTTGAACCACCTACTATATCGTTCTATCTGCGGTTTAGCTGTTGACTGTGCGGGTAAACATGATCCGAAAGCTTGTTAATTACCACCGACTTTCTCCTCTGGATTTAAGAGCCACGGAAATGGAGCAGTTATTCGTAGACGATGTAAATCCGAGGTGAAAGGTTTTTCTTAGCAAACTTAATTTCGCCACATTAGAAACGAAAAGGGAACTGGAGACGAAATGCGTCCCGCAATTGTTTCTGGGATCGTTACTGTCCCTAGTAACAGTCCCAGAAGTCTTTGCAAAAGTTAATTAGATCCAGATTCCTTCTGGTTTCTAAAGCGCCGTTGTTAACTATTAACCGATGACGCATCAAAACTTCATAAAGAAAAATGCAAAGAGTGGAATAAACGTTAAAATCTTTACTAACGTCGGAGAACCACGCCTAAAAGGGGGCGGGTGGATGGGTCTCCTTGATATCTTTAACACAGCAGGCTCTCCTCTCCCCACCCCCTCAAATTTTAGGACTGTTCAAGATCCACAAAGAAGGAATTCCTTTACCGCAGGAGCTTCTGTTTACGGCCCATTGTTAGAAATACAAGCTTAGCTGGTCATTCCCTGGTCTACAGAAGACAGTTCTTTAAGCAAGAGTCAGGTGATATAGCTATGGGCTTACCAGTCTTTCCTCCGCTATATAATGGTTAAACAGAATACTCAAAAGAAAAGGGTTTTTGCCACAGCAACCCCTGTAGGTATTACAGGTACGTAAATGACACCTACTATTTAAAGACTACTTTAAGTTTTATGTTTTTCCTAGCCTCCCAGGCAGACGTTCTTAGAGGTTCGTCACGCGTTCCTGCGTGACGAACCCCTAAGAACGTCTGCCTGGGAGGCTATGTTTTTCCCAGTAGGCCTTTCCAGATTCTGCTCCGAAAAGGCTAAAAAGTTGCTAAGAAATATGCCAAAAAGTTGCTCAAAAGTTGCTCAAAATTGATAAAGTTGCTCAAAAATTTTGTAAAGTTGCTCGAATATTTTTAAGACAGCATGCCTAATTTTATTTTTATTTTTATTTTTATTTTTTTGATTTTTAATTTTTAATGATGTACTAGTGAGCAGCACACTTACACTTCCAGTAAACATTTTCACTTGGAAGAAGGGGAAACCATGCTCGTCCGGGGCAACGAAATTTTTTTTTTAATTAAAAAAAAAAATTTAAAAAATTAAAAATTTAAAAATAGTTTTACTAGGAAGATGTTTAGAATTTTAACCAAGAGAATTTTAACTTTTTATTTAAAAAAAGGGGGTTTATCAGCATTTTGGTTCAAGATAGCCAAAAAGTTACCAAAAAGTGCTAGTTTTCCGAAAAGTTGCTAGAAGTTGCTCTCTGAAAAAAAGTTGCTCAAAATCCTAAAAGTTGCTACAAAGGTGCCGAGCAGAATCTGAAAAGCAAAACCAAAACATACAAGCTCCAGATGTCTACCGACAAAACCATGTCAATACACAAGTCTTCGAGGATAATATTTATCTCAAATGACTTGGACATATCATTAAACTATAGTTATCTGTTGTTAGGGCCTTAATGTGATCGTAGCTAAAGTGACTGTATTCACGTAGGTATTGTACGGTTCTAGTCAGTGTTTTATTATTATTATTATTATTATTATTATTATTATTATTATTTGCAACTAACTGGCCGCTTTTTGTGTCGAATACTGCATTCAATTTTGATATATTTCGCACAAGGCAATTTCATGATCATTAAAGCTCTTGATTGGTTCTGGAATTGGTTACTTGTTTTATTATTTGTCAAATAGAGCCTAAGCCACTCCAGTTTGGTTTCTTTAGGGGTTTAATATTAATTTTGCTGACTCCGTCCCTTTTATTGCCCCGCCCCCGGCGAAAAAGTCACTTACACCAAGGAATATCAGTGTATCCTCCGAACACGTACTGGTCTTTTCTGATGACCGTAATCGTATGTTTTTTCCCATCACATCTGCTGTGGAAGGTACTGGCAGCCCAGCCATGAGTGGAGGCCTGCCAACACAGCGCCCAGTTGCTGTCATTCCCAATCGCAGGCGAAAGAAACTGTGTGACCACAGTTGAGATAACATCTATTGGTGAAAGAGAAAAAATACCTCTTATTATATGACTGAGTCTGTTTTCGCCATGCGATTGGTCAATTTGCGGTACGTAACTTGCTATACGGACCAAAATTTCAAAGAAAATTCTCATTTCGGAGGTCTAAATCTCTTTACCTAGGAAAAAAAAGGTTGAAATTAAGTCACAAGACGTCTATCAACTTTGAGGACTTAGATTTTGACTTTGTCCTTCAACATTTTAAACTGTGTTTATTTGTGAACGAAGGCGATGAAGAAACTAACTCGTAATCTTATCGAAGAGAATTCTAGTCAGTGTTTGATAATAATATTTTATCGTAGTTCACAGTTAAGAAGACGAAAATCGACTGGCAGAGATTCGAGATGTTTTGCCAAAGAGGAATTGAGTAATTCCTTGGACAAATATGATAACAAACATGCCTGCACCCGATCATCTTGACGAGCTTCTTTGTCATTTGCAAAGTTTTCGCAAAGACCAACCAAAGAAAGATAGAAGCGACTCCGAGCCAGACACAATGTCCAGTTTTGCAAAGACTCCAGCGTCACATTGGCAAGTGAATACTTACAGTGCTCTTAGGTTTGACCAAATGTACTTAAAAATATGTCTGTAAACCCTGAGAACTAGATGTTGACTTTGCCTTTCCAGATTTTAACCTTGCTTTGTTTGAATGAGAACGGAGCTGATGTAGAAACTGAATCGTAACCTTTCCGTGGAAGAAAATATGGTCCGTGTTTGGGAAAATTTTAACGCAGATCACACTTGAAGACGAGAATGAACTGGCAGAAATTCGAGAGGTTTTCCCAAAAAATTTAACGAGCCAATCCTTGGACAATGACAACAAACTTACCTTGAAAAGCTTCTTTACCTTTTGCAGTGTCTTTTTTTTTTTTGACAAGGACCAACGGAGAAAAGATGGAAGCGACTTCGAGAAAGACACAGTGCCCGGTTTCAAAAATACTCCAGCGTTACATTAAAGAGGTAAAACTTACAGCGCTCTTAGTTTTGACCAATTAAACTTTCAACATGGCGAATTTGTTTTCACTTTCTCCGAAACCCAGTCGATTTTCGTCTTCTTAACTGTGTACTACGATAAAATTTTCAAACACTGACTAGAATCCTCTTCGATAAGATTACGAGTTAGTTTCTTCATCGCCTTCGTTCACAAATAAACACAGTTAAAATGTTGAAGGCCAAAGTCAACATTCAAGTCCTCAAGGTTGACAGGCGTCTTATAACTTTATTTAAACATTTTTTCCCAGGTAAAGAGATTTAGACCTCCGAAATGAGCGTTTTCTTTAAAAATTTTGGTCCGTATAGCAAGTTACGTACCGCAAATTGACCAATCGCATGGCGAAAACAGACTCAGCCATATAATAATGCAGCTTATTGGTTTCACAGTCGTGTAAATTTGCTGGGGAAATTATATATCCAGCTATCCCCGTGCACGAAACTTGCGGGAAGACGTGTCGCAATTTTTTTAGGGATAACTTTCCTCGAAAGTATGTGCAGGCGACAAAGGGACGTCCATCAAGCCAACTCAAAAGGAGGACGAGAGGTACATAATTTTGTAGTAAACCCTTTTTAGATAAGCACTAGCCTGCAGAAGAATCTACAATCCAGAAAAATGAATGCAATTGACGTTGCAAGTGCATGGACATATTGCAAAACTGACGGCAGACACTCTCAGGTGGACATTTAGTCAAACAAGAAAACAGTTTGAAATTCTGACTCACTCTGGAAATCATTGGAAATACAAATGAAATCAAACTAGACCCTCTTTAAGGAAAGAGATTTAATTTTAGGAAGATATACTTGAATATAACATTGGAGAAGTTTGACAGAAGGGTAACCGGCCAATCAGGGTGCGAACTGAAAATCGCGAAAACAAGGTTTGGACACAAAACAATAAGAACACCAGTTTTTTTTCTTTTTTTTCAAAATTGGTTGAAGGTATATACATTATATACATTATGAAGATTATTTGAAGAGATTTAAAAAACAAAATTCGTTTGAGCCGTTTCAGAGATACACAAAACTCTGCTCAAAGTCCAGATTTTGAACGAAGTTGCACTTAGACAGGTGGTGAAAAAACGGGTTAGTTTCCAAGATTGCAAGAAAGAAAATACACCCAAATTTCCTAGCAACGAAATTTGATATTAAGCAGCATTCTGATGATACTTAAGAATAATTTGAGTCATTTGTAACATTTTTATTAAATAATCTATCACGGCTATTGAAAATCACATTTTATTTCTAACGGAGTTTATTTGCTAAACACCAAACTTTAAGTTCGCAGTATTGGATTTTCAGTAGCCGGTTTAGATCGCGCAAAATTCAGCTTTTATTTATTTCAAAGTTTTTTGTTTATTGTTGTCATAGTAATATCGATTTTACTAAAACCTACATTTTGACAAATTTCAATCTATAGTCAATCGCTGGCGAAAATTTTATAGCGATCATATACGGATAAAATCACTTTTAAAGCTATGGAAAAATAATATCAGTTTCCTGGCCTCTGAAAAACTGCATCGAAACACCTTTTAAAAAAAGAAGGACTACTTGAATTTATAGATGGCAACCTGTCAAAGTACAACTTGCTAATTCGTTTGTGGTACACATCATACATGATCCATAATTATGATTCTCACCTCCATTTTTGGATTTTGTTTCACATCGTTTCCCAAAAAATTCAAGCGGACAACTGCATTTGAATCTGTTGACTAAGTCAGTGCAAGTTCCGTTGTTGAGACAAGGGTTGCTTTTACACTCGTTAATGTCTGTAACAGAATGATATCAAAAATAACATCAAAATTAGGAAGCACGCTAATAATAAAAGTTAAGAAATGCAAAAGTGCAATACAGAGACCAAAAATTGCAATAAATAAACCACGCGCAAACAGACGCAAAAACTCCCAACAATGTTAGGAGCTGCTGGCCGACAATATTGAGTTTGTTTGCACGGGGCTTAAAGCTTGACAGCTGGATTGATCAGTTTTAAACTTTGCGCAATGATCTCCAATAACAGGCAACGACCAACGACATACAACAGAATGTGCAAACGGACGCTATTTTAGCACTTAACATCCAACAATGTTGCGTCCACTTGCACGGGGATTTCAACCGTAAATTACACCTTGCGTAAAACAATTTTGGGCTGCTTTTGGCACTTATCTAATTCCCTATAAAAGGAACTATAGTGGCAAAGGGTACCAGCTCTTAGCGCAACGATTTCTAGATCTTTAGGTAAACAAGCGTTGCTTATGATTGGTTAATGGTTGACCTGAATACCATCGACCAATCATAATTAGCTCTTGCTCACCCAAACGATCCCAGAAATCACTGATCCCAAAGGTTGTACCCAATTCCTTTGAAGTTTTTGAAGTGATGGATAGGCGTTGACATTTCAGCACGTCTTATCTTCACGAGGTCTTAAATACAAAGTAAAACAAAGCAAAAATGGTAAATTTACTTCTAACTAGAAGGTAAGCCTAATTGATTTTGAAACGCAAATTTCCCTCCGTAGATAAGCCCCTCCGAATATAAGCCCCTCCAAAAATAAGCCCCTCAAAAAGGCCCTTTGAAATATATAAGCCCCGGGGCTTATTTTCGGAATTTTACGGTATAATAAAAAAATAACGACAAATAAATATGTATGCGTTAATGACCAAACTTGTTTGGCCAAGATAAATGCGTTATTATTGGCCAAGTCTTTTTTTTTTCGGCATTTTCATGGACCAAGAGGAATTCGAGGTCAATAAAATTGCAAAACATATAATTATCCAGCGGACCCTAGAGCCTCCGGATAAAAACTTATGTTGGTATAACATAATATGACATTAACTTTGTCGGATGATGTCCATGATATAGGATCCATGTAGGATCGGATTTAAATTAAAATTGATCCATATTTATTAGTTATCAGCATTCAACAGCGTCCAACATTAAGTGTTTAAACGGGATATATAGTATGTTGCGTTTTGGCGGAAATGCAATGCAAATAGCAGCAACAAGTATCTAACCAATTTCGCATCGGTTGCCGGCAAATCCTGGAGAGCAACTGCAGTTGAAGCCATTGATTAGGTCGATGCAAGTTCCGTTGTTCAAACAAGTAATATTGACACAGTCATTTATATCTGCAGGAGAGAGGATGAAAGATATTAAATAAAAAAAAAATATATTTGTACCTTTCAGCTAAGGTACATTAGACTTCAGCAAGAGTTAAAACACAGCTAGTAAACGTAAATGTTGTTCTATATAGAGGTTGATGGAGAAACGTGTCTATAAATAAGTCACTTTATCGATCAAGCAGGGAAATTGAAATTTGTGGTTGGGCAACTATAAGGAAAAGTAAAAGTTCAGCCTGATACTTATTGGTCGACTTTTCTTTTAAGGTAGTTTTTAAATCTTCTCAGTTAGATATTTTTTTATTGTAGTGAGCTCAGAGAAGTAAAAGTCAATAATATAATACCTAACATCAGCTTGATGCTGATTACCGTTCCCTATAGTTAACAGCAACATTGGTTCAACTCAGTATTTCTTACTCGTGTCGCAGTCTTTTCCGGTGAATCCTTCTATGCAGATACACTTATATCCATTTTCCTGGTACAGTGAAATGCATTTTCCAGTGTTCTTACAGGGCGAACTGTCACAAGGAGACTACACAAAGGAAAGGATACGGCTGTAAGTAAAGACCATTTCATGGCAAAGTCAAAACATAATCCAGTAACGTGACGCATATCATTTATCCATATTAGACGTATGCTGAATTTACGGCAAATTCAGCTTTTGAGTTTCGTCGACCAACTTGAGCCCCAAGTTTTAGTTACATGTAGCATTAAGTAACACAATTATTCCACCTGCGAGTTGTTGGGTATGGGTTGGCTATATTATCTCCATGGAACAAGTGCGAGTTGAATAATTGTTTTATTTAGTAAAAATGCCCACAAAATATCGATGAATCTTCCGGACTTTATTTTGTTACTACAAATGAGAAAACACAAGGCACTTCCACTTTTCAGGCCAGCAAACTGCTGTCATTAGTCATATCTGTGTCTAAGCGAACGGAATGACTGAATGAAAAATAAATACATAAATAAATAAAACATCTTAGCGGTGAACACTTTCAAAAATCATCAGGATTCTCCTTTCTCGGCACCTATGATGATTGCAGATAATTTGAAATTTGAATTTCATTTTAGTGCAGTTACAAACTAAAATCATGCAATAAGCTGGTGTAATTATATAAATTTAACTCGCTTGTTCATCAAATTATTTCAGGGAGCCGCCGGCTGGTTTTGCTGAACGAAAACAGAAGCTATATCTAATGCCTGCGTTAATTGCCGCAGTGAGTGAGTTCACAGCCTGTATTCTCAGCTAGTTGCTTCTGGTCAATGCATTCTTCTGACACAGCTTTTGTAGGATGAACAGGCTGCAGATATAATTATATCGGCGAGTAGCCTGACGATGGCATTAAGAGCCACTGCTTGGCTTCTTTCCTATCTGGTCAGGATATCTTTTAAATGCATTTTTTCTGCGTTTTTCTATGAATTCTAATGAAATTCCATCTTATATTTCTAATATACTTATTTATTTGTCCAATTAAATTGCATTAAAACGCCTTTTTCGGGCACAATTCTTTCGTCCTGACTTTCAGTGTGCTTTTAAGGAGGCTAAACACAGTTTCTTTAGAAGTACTAAATGAAAGAATGTTAACATTTTTATCAGGAGGAGATATGCAGCCAATAAGTGAACAAAAAGTACGAGTGCTTAATTGTTGAACATGCTTACTTTTTGTCTTATTTTCTTAAAAAAAAAAATTAAATACTGTTAAAATTTGGTTAAGTTGTTTTAAAAAGTGGGGGTAACAAATTGTAAGTTGTGTACTAACTCATCAAGAAATCTACTAATAAGTAGATGTTGTGCAAACCTAATTAATTCGAAATTTTAAGCTTGTTTTCAATCATCCATGTTGAACTTACGGATATACTGAGTAGGATCTCAGAGTAGGGACGTCTCGGTAAGATAAAAGGACCAAACCTATTTAAAAATAAGACGCACGCGATCTAGGAAAGGGGATAGCGGTGGAAAAAAAAATGGTCCCCTCTGTCCCTGCTCCCGCTGCACTACTATCTCGGAGCCTATATAACAGGCTACAAAAATCGAGGTGTTTCTCGAAATAAGGACGAAGAAAAAAAAGGTAAAAAGAAAATTGGAAATAATAAAATGAGATCAAGTAACGGGAATTTTGCGCAGCTCTAACAAATGTAAAGCAGGCTTTGATAAGTCCCTTAATTATTGTCTCTGTTTTTTAGAAAATTTGATGCTTGCTTTTTCATAGTGTAGCACTTCTACCGCTAGTAACATGTATTTCTTGTGACAAAAGCTGCTTTTTTCATAATAACAAAACACGAACGGTTCATCAGTTACAGGTGGCAGTCCTATCTTTAAATGTGCGTTGCTATGGCAATATCCCATTGAATCAGCCAAACATGAGGATCAAAGTGGCTCGCTTTTGTGAAAAAGAACGAAGAACTCGATACAATAAAAATTGTTTCGACAAGGCAGTTTACTCGTTTAAATTCATTTATTGCCAGGAACGTTTAATGGATACGAATTCCCTCAGTTGAATGTTCCCATAGGTTAACAGGTTAGGTACTTTGTGTTGCCATAGTAATGTCCAAACAGAACAAGAAAAGCACTAGACAGAGAGAAAGTTTCGGGGCCTCAGTTAACTTTCAGTACGAAAACTATAGACATTCATTGTCTTCACTATATGATGTTATAACTACTTCAACGAGCCGAACTGTGGATTAAATTCAGCTTACTGTAAACCTACAAAAGTTGGGATTAAATTTTCTTTGTTTCCCTTTCGCTTTGTTTCATGGATTCAAAAAGCAACGAATTTGACATACATGTCGATGCTTAAATGACATCGATATAATTAAGGACGGCAAGCAATATACATTTTTATCTCTTGCACTCCCCGCTGGATTTGCTCAGTTGAGTTTTTAGTGAGGTTTTGAAAGTCAACTCTGTTTCATTTACCCAGAAATTTGCAGAGATGCTACCGAATTTCAAGGCGTTGTGCTGATATAGTCTAGCTGGCAAAAGATTAGCCTAAAATAGGAGTATTAAAACGTTTCTGTAACTTTTAAGGCAAGCCAAGTATGCAAACTAGTAATAAGCAAAATTCATGATATGACAAATGTGTTTTACGAGCTAAACGCTTTTTGTCGGAAAATATTTCAGTCGAGACCTTTGTCAGCAACTCTCCCCTCACTAACGTTTAGGACATTCGAACATAAATATATCGATTTCATCAAGTATGTTTGGGCATCAGCAGATGTTTAAATTAAGAGTTGAAAGGTTTAACTTAGTTGTAAAACTTTTATAAGGGTTTTTTTATCCAAACTCATTAGCCAATTCCTTTGCATTTGAAGCACAACGTAATCCACTGCATTCAAGATTTTCCAAGCGAAGAGATACATTTTGATTTACAAATGCTAACTTTCGAAACTAGCGAGAGTCAAAAGAAAATAATCACACAAACAAACAAAAAGAAACTTTTTATTTTCCCCAGAAGGAACATTTTTGATTAATTAGAAGTTTGACTTACCGGAATATAAAAGTGATGAAACTCTTTGCTGGCGTTGAACTTGTCCGAGTTGTTAAACTTGTCCGATGGCAGCAGTTCGCACAGAAGTTTGCCGTTGACATCAGGGAAGGCAGCCACATTGTAGGAAAAACATGAAGGAATTTCTAAACAGGCGTAGCCACAATCGTTTTCTTTTTGAATAAGATTCCGACCAATACTGGAGATGTTCAGGTAGGAAAATTCAGTTATCATGAAGTTGACGTAGAAAAAGTTGCCAATCGATCCCTGACTGAAAGCTTTTTAAAGGAAGGGAGGAAAAATATGAGATTCTTTTTTCATGTCATAATATACTGGAAAACTACAGTAAAGGAAAAAGATAGAGTCTATGTACCTTCAGAATTAGTTGCAAATGTGACAAAGATCCATAGAAGGAAGAAGTAGTTTCTCTGAATTACTGTTTTTTTCATCCTCTCGTGATACGCCGAGAAGTGAAGTTTTAGCATTTGTCTGAATCAGTCTTTAAATTGAATGCATTAGAACAAGCACCCACATCTCCTTATTATATCGTTTGTCTGTAACCTTACACGGACACAAAAGAGGTTAAACAATTGCCATCAATAAATAATATGAAAACTCGTCTAAAAACCTTATTTTAGAACAAAGGGCTTGTTTTAAAAATGACTAAGGGGATTTGATGAAATTTGAAGCAGAGAGCAGAGAGAGAGAGAGAGAGAGAGAGAGCAGTATTTCCATGTAGACTTTTTCTGGTGATAAAACTAAATTAAAGTACAAAAACGTTTTTCAAATACTTTGTTCCCAATTCAACGAAATAATTTCATTATTTGCCCAATTTAATTTATATTAATGAACCACTTAAGATTCTTCTGCTTAGTGTTCATACCACTGAAAAACAGTTTGCACTGACGTTTTTAAGTGTTAATTGAATTGTGGTTGCTTTCCTGAGAATATCAAAATTTGTCCATTGCAGACAAAAACGAAAACAATCTTCCTGTCAAGACTTTAGCGTGGGCTTACATTGCGTAGTCTGGCAAATTATCAACAGGTTTAATTGCGTAAACGTAGTTCAACTTAATAAATTGCTTTTTCAAATCTTCCGTCGACCACTGAGATGGAAATATCTCCGAGCCTAATATAATCTACTAGGCTTTAAGTCTCAGCTAACGGAGCTAGTGTTCTAAAAATCGAGCTTAATGAACTGTAGCTTCCTTTTGTCAGTATTATGTGAATAAAACAGGAACTTCCACTTTCGTATAAATACGTGTGGGGTAAATTAATCAGCAGTACGACTAATGATGTTTTGCCCCTTGCTAAGTTTCGGTTAAATTACCTTGCATAATTAGGAAATTAACGAAAATGTGGAGATTCTAAGCGGGCTTTACTCAATTATGCTAATCATTCCTTAGTATAACGTCTTTTCTAGCAAATCGCAAAATTTCTGCGATTTCTTTTAAAAGATTTACACCAAATCACATTGGAGTAGTGGTTTTCCACGGAACACACCTTAACTTGCTACACGATTAAATTTATCTCAAACAAAATATTACCATTTCTCTCAATGGAAACTAATTAGAGAGCAAGCAAGTTCCTCATTTGGCAAAATAAGATAAACTTAGCACAAATTACCTACGCGTATAATTGAGTAGGCAGCTTTCGCCAAAGTTATCCATAGATGTGAAAGATGAGGAGAAGTTCTGAGTCATAAAGAAGTTAACAAGGAATTTTATTGATGGACAGGGGTTCAGGTGGGGGGTGCACTGGGATTTTGGCAAAGAACACATGAAAAAGATAGCTTTAAATAGGGGTAAGCTCCAAAAGAAAATAAACAAACAAAACAAAACGAAAAATAAACACAAAAATAAGAAAAGGAAATTTTAAAAAATCAATTTCAAGTGCACATGGTTTTCACAGTGACGTCATCAAATTGTAAAGTCATAAAGCGAGAATTTACGTATTCCTATTTACAATGGGTTGAAGATAAACAAAAAAATATATCTTTGTACAAGTTTCCAGTCCCGTAGCATGTTTCGTTTCGAAAATACAGCCATTTGAACTTTCGAGTTTTCTCAGTGTGTGACACCAATATATGAATACTGTCTCGTTGAAAAAAAAAGTCTCTCCTTTTGATTTTCAGCAGTGAGTATAACCATTTCAAGTTTTAGAAGATATGCTTCTGCGCTCGTGTGCTAGTTCTCGAGTGAAAAGAAAGAGCTTTTATAGAAAAAGTGAACTCCTGATGTGTTTGTTGATTTCCGCCAGCCATATTGGTGTACCAAAACTTTACACCAATATGGCGTCTCCATACAAAGCTCTACAAAGATGCGTGAAACGTTAAGGCAAATAACTCGAGAAACTGTGGGTCACAAAGACCTGAGTCTTGGACAAATTGTTCATAAATTAGTCTTTTATAACATTCATTTTCTTGGCTTCTTCCACTGGACGGTTTCAGTTTATGTGCCGTGTTTATTGCGTGATAGTGAAACCGATCTATACCGTCACCAGAGAGGATACCGAAAAAAAATGATTGAAAAACAATGGTGAAATAGTGTGGCGTAGCCCTTTTTAAGTGGAGATGGCCAATTGAAGCATTTTGAAAGCGTTTGATCGGCCTCGTTTACCGTATAAATAGCGAGGGCACTCTTTCCTATGGCGCGCTGTGACATGACATGCGCGAATTTGTAGCTAATTAGACATTGGCTCTGACCACTAATAGGTATGGTTGCATTCCCAGCGTAAGGAAACTGCGAGATCATCAGGAATGTCCAGATGAATGAAACAATTATATCAAAGTAATGCAGGGATCGTCTCAAGAACTACAAACTAACGTTTTCGTGATTGTAGAAAGTGCCATTTTTATTACAACGTGTTTCTGAAAAAGTAAATGCAACAACATATATATAGTATAAGAAGCCCTTTAAAGGTGGTTAACTCTTACAGGTTTTCCTATTTAAAAAGTGCTGTTGTTTTACTGACACATTTTACTCGGATCGATGATCCTGCTAATTGAAATTAGTTTTTTATATGTAATTCTTACGACGAAAAAGGGTTTATAAAAAGCACAGATAAAGGAGGTTTTGAAATATACAATGTACAGTTGTGAATAAATACTGTATATTTAAGGACCAAACTCAAGTTTCTTTTTTTTCTTGGGTATTCAACAACTTTATCCCCTAAGCCTTTATAGAAATTAAGAACCTAGCCTAAATTGCCGATAACTACCCCAAAATAAAAGGAAATTTTATGCCAGAACTCAAAAAATGTAGGTTCTTATTAGCAGTTGTTAATTACTGAGAACTGTGTCTATGCTTTTAAACCCGTTATTTAAAGGCAGTTTAGCCATAACAAAACCCGGTCCTAGGCCATTTTCAGTTTAATTTCCAAACGCTCCTATCTGATCATCTTTTATCGAGAGCAACATCATGAACTGATCAAGAGAGACAAACTTTATCTTCTTTAAAAATAACCCACTTGGTTAAGGGGTCTGGATTACTGTCCAACAGGGCGTAAGAAGCTAGCGCGTTGAAACGTTCATACGCGCTCTCTTGTTCAGCTGTGATACGTAGTAGGACTGGAACTAGTTCGCTTTCCGCCCTCGATCAGCTGCCAGGGCAAGAAAAATGGCGCCGTCTAGCTGGAGGTAGTTTCGGATTTATTGCTTTATATCTTTAGATCGCTGCAGTCCATAATAAGATTTGATATTTGGCGTATTTCTACGCGATATACAGAAAATATTTAGGTTATATTTTATAGTTAGTGTTATAAGTTAAGGTGTTTTTTCGCCTTTTATGTTTATGTAGTGTCAAAATGGCTTATCGAATATTACAGGTTGAAGGTCGCGTTTTATCTTGCCAGTCAAAACCAAATGATAATAAACGGCTACAAAAAATATATAATGGTTTTATAATTTTTTTTTGTGCATGCAAATTTTTAGAGTGAACATATTCTTAATGTTATCAGGAGCAAGATTATTATGGACGTCGTACATTAAAAGGCTCATTTGCTCAAATAGCAAGAACGATATCGGCAACTGTTTTGTTTCTAAAAACAACGGAACTGCATGAGTTCTTGGTTCAGCGAAGAACATTCCCACACCGCCTGCGGAAAGAGGCTTTGTTACATACTCAAAATAGTAGTTTGGTAAGCTCGGAAGATTTTCATTACAAACGTCATCACGGATTCGAATTTCAGTTAGTCCTATAACACTAAAGTTTACTTTTAATTCAGAAAGTACATGCTGATGGAACTGCTCGAAATTCCTCTCAAGGCTTCTTATATTACTGTGAAGAATAGGGATAAAATTCCGATGATTTTGATTTATTTTACTTTTAATAGTCTCAGCAAAGCTGTGAGGTGAGAAATATCGGGATCGCAATCTTGGTTCTAAAAAGTTGAAATCCGGGTCAATGTTTGCATTAAATGAATTCATGTTAAAGATATCGTAATCATAAAGACTATGCAGCGTCTCCAGGGTTTTCTTTAAATGTAAATTGTCGCCTAAAAGGTTGTTAAATCTGCCATGAACAGACGGAATATGTTTGTAATTATAATAAGGCAAATGTGTTAAGCTTTCCTTTAAATTGTTTTTTTTTGTTTTTTTTTTACAGGAAGCCATCTCTTCTAGATTTAACTAGATTTATCAGAATAAAAAATAAAATCAGGTACTTAGCTCGGCAAGATAATCTCACTCAAGTTCCAGACTATTCGTTAGCCTGCTCAAGTCTTCAACGGACTTCAGCTTGATCACTCTAGATTCGTGCGTCTTGCGAAGAAGAATTTGGCCATTTTTCGCCCAACAATACTGAAATTGATGCGCTGTCTTGAAATTATTTGCTTCTGATAAGAGGTGCTGTAATCTTGGTGTTAAGTGATCATAAATCTTGGCTTGCTCCAAAGAAGTTTCCGAACTGTACCCCAGAGTAGAGGGAGAAATACTTTCCACTTCTCGTCTGTGGCCGTCATAACATTTTCCTTCGCCAATCTTCGAACGAATTTACAGATAATTGGTTTGGGACCAATATCACTTCTTGATTGGACACGGTGAGCGATATCAATATCTTGACCAGTCAATTCACTTGCGCCGATGGCTTTAAAGATTTCGAGGCATAGTTTCGAGGTGTCATTCGCCGATTCATGTTCGTAGAGTTCAGGGAATCCAACAAGTTTTATATTATATTGGTAGCTGTAATTTTCCATGCTTTCTATTGCTTCACTGATGTTTTTGACTTTTTCATTAACAGCTTCAATCTTCTTACCGAGTCGCTCTAGTTCGGCCATTGCATTTGTTTTAAACAAAATCAATTCATCGTGCTTATCGCTAAGGAAGCTTAAGCTCTTCTCACCTTCACGACTCGGAGTATCGTTGTCTTCAGGAAATCACACAATTAAGAAACGGTCCAGATAAGAACGATAGCAACAACGGCAACGAACATGCTGGAATGCGAAAAAGGTGCTAACTTTTCTATTGTCTGTACTTACTTCTGATTGGCTTAAACAGCAAAAGTTAAGAAAACTTCACAAAGAAGTACATATATTCATTCTTACTTTTTATCCATCTTCCATATAACGAAATCTGGTCTCAGTTTGAATAACAAAGAAATCCAATGTGGGGAACATGTAAAATTGTAAACTTTTCTTGGCTATTGTTTTCAACTCCTGTTTTAACGCAAAAAAACACCCTTTCAAAGTGGAGTGTAAATGCATTTTATTGCGTAAACGGCCTTCATGTAGGTTTATGCATTCTCTGTGTAAAAATGAGAACATTCCTATGTGGGGAAAGCACCGTTGCCGCATAACAAAAGAAATTGCTATCCACCTTTACCCATTACTTAACCACGTTCGCGGCACTGACAAAACTATCCACAACCAACCAGACACAATGTTTCCACACTTAATACGGGCGAAATATCATCACATTACTCTCTCTCGATAACTCTCGCTTTCTCCACATAAATCATCGCATGTAAACTTTGCTGACAAGATCTCAAAGATTTCAATATCCCGGATGTAGACGAGCCGTTTTGAAAGGGACACATGAACGGCGACCTTCAAAACAAATTTTTACTAAGTCTCTGGCCTGGTCAGAAATCAGCATCAATTTTGCTCTCGCCGAATAGTTTTGACTCCTAAAAGCTACTTTTTGAGGCCAGAGACTCGTCACCGCCCACATCAAAGCTCGCAATATGATGCGTGCCTTTCCGTCTCAAGCCTTTGATCAGTGTTTCACCCGTTTAGCCAAAATGAGACAAAATACCGCCATATTGGACGACGGAAGACTTTGCCAATCGTGAGACTTGTTCCTTCATAATGCTTAATGATGCCTTCTGGAAAACTTTGCTGCAGGCGGCCAAAAAGGAAACCTAGAAATTAACCGAACACGGAAAACAACTTCTACCGCGCGCGCTCATTTCAAATGTAATAGTGTTTATGACAAGGAGAGAATTATGGGAAATGATAGGTAGGGAGGTAGGGGAGAGCTGCGGGGGGGAAGATGTAAAAAGCATTTAAACACATTTTTTTTTATCTACTGCAGCTTTTAAAGGGATTTTTCTACTGACGAGATCATTAAAAAAAAATGGAATGGTCAAGTACTGAACAAGCCTCAAATGAGACTGTTGCTGAAAATTTTTGGAGGTACCTTTTTATCAAATTCAGACAGATATTTATATCAATTTATTTTTTAATGTTTATGCACAAAATTTCCACACGGGTGTTTTGTGTAAATGGTAAGAACCCATGCACTCTGCAGTGAGCTGTGACGTCACCCAAAGAGACACGCTCACCAAGTTCCCAGACATTGCTAAGACAACGGGGCAGGAGAGAACGCTTGGCGACTAAGCTGAAAGGATTTTATTTTTTTCACTAAATTAATGTCTTCAAAAGTCGGGGACAGATGAAGAAAGAACTATTTTTTGTTGGTAGTGTATTTGCGTAAACACTGATATTGGTATTAATGACAATAGCTACCTGGTTGGAATTGTTGACTTAGGGCAATCTCTTGCTTTAAAAAGTGGTACCGTTGTAGCGAATCAGCGAGGGGTGACATAATTTATTTGTCAACAAATCACTGAAATACCGAACTGCAGTGCTTTTATTAGTATGTTTTGAAGCATGCAAAAAGTTAGAAATTGATTCAGTGTTTAAAGTTTGTTTTAGTACTTTATGCTTTTAAGCATGATGGGTCCCAGTTACAAAAATGACTCCATAAATATGTGTAAAATTAATACAAATTCAAAATTCATGCCAGTGTAATAGCATCCTTGGAGACCCAGGCGCGTTCAGTTGCGTCGGGATAAACGATGGCAAAGGTTGTCAAGAACGGACAAGAGAGCCCCTGAGATGCTACTCATTTCCGGCAGTTCCACGACTCATTCGAATGCTTGTCTCTGATATTCCGGGATAAATGTTGTTTCAAAGCAGGACAGGTTGTAAATCTTATTCTTATCGCCTGCAACATATACCTGATTGATAGCAAAGAATAAATATGAATTATAGGGCTATATAAATCGAAACAAACGTCCGGAAGTACTCCCTCGTCGCGAACAATGAATTTGAATTAATGTGTAAATTTCCTGTTGTGCATCCAACTCGCTTCCAATTGTTGGTTTAAAACCAATTAGCTACTGTCAGAACTCGGCTTCATTATCGATAAGAAAAAAAATCCTCTGGAACCCAGGGTAGGCGAACAGTCGAGTTTGCAGGGAAAAAACGCCTTCGTATAAGAAAATCGCGAAAGCGGCGCTATAGAAGGTGGCCTTCTATTTTTGTGTGTCTGTGTGCCCAATCAGAGACAAACATTGGAACGAGTCGTGGAACTGGTGCGTTAAGAGAATCCTGGGGTCAGGCTCCGCAATAGGGGAAAAAGGAGAAAAAAATCGGCGAAGGTTAGTCTGGGGAGGGGGAAAGACGCCGTACCTTCCCCCTCCCCAAGCCACCGTTAAGCTTCCTTCACTTGTCGATATTTTCCAATTTTACCCCGTTTTTTGCCTTTTTCCCCCACTGTGGAGTCTCAGATTCCTGGCTACGTTAAGAGTAGCATCCCAGGGGTTCTCTTGACCGTCCTTGAAAACTTTCGCCGCCGTCTTTCTCCACCCGACTGACCGCCCCTGGGTCTCTGAGGATGGTATTATAGCTAAACACTTCTTTCTTTTGAAGTAAAACTTATAATTAATTAAATACTTAATCAGTATTAGTATTCATTCAAAATATTTCCCCGATTCTGACTGGCTAGAAGCACACGCAAAATTCACCATAACCAGTTACTGATGACCAAATTTGGAAGAATTTTGTGCTTCACGAGGAAATGACGTCAAAAATGCAGCGTTCTTGCAGGTTAAGGCACCGTTAACCGAGAAGACCTAGGGACGAGGTTGTGTTGTTTTAGTTGTGAAAACAAAAAACGGCGGACATTTCACTCGTTTCAAGAGTAAGAACAGCTAAGAACTAGGCGAAATAATAGCTAAAAAATAGCAAGAACAGACGGACAACTCGAACACAACTCGAAGGGCGACATCAAGTTATTATTATCTGCTATTTGGAGAACATTTGCGGAGCGGAAAACCCTAAACGTGCACTATCGAAGTTAAGGTGAACTTATCATCAGTGGAGGTAAGCATGTTTTAGCTTTGTTTTAAAACTAGGAATTATTTTGAATGAATAATAAAAAAAAAATATTGAATTCGGCTCATAAGAGACAGCCTCATTCATTAATTGTTAATTATATCAAACATAACACACACAAGCTCATTCTCTCTTGCAACACACTATATTTATAAAGCTTCTATGAGTCTTCCAACAGTTAGCCATTGACCCTATTTCACAAGTTGAAAATTGTGCAGTGTACGAATAATCAAAGGGAAAAAAAGAGTCCGTTATTTGGGACTGATTTCAAATAATCGCGATTCAACAATAATCAAACTACAGTTTGTAATAGGCCATTTTACAGTTATGGATGGAAGCGAGGTTGACGGTGACCATGTTTTGGCACAAACCTTCCTGCTGTATTATGTATATCAAGTTATTCTTATGCTAACTAGTAGTTTTCAAGGACAATTTCCTTAACAAAGCACAAAGGAGGTTTGTATCAAAACAAAATCACCGTCAGCCTCACATTCGCTCGAAGACTAGGGTACTAAGTCCTGTGACAACTGTAAAATGGTCTATTACCATTATGAACCACAAGGTAAAATGCAATTAAAGGTCAAATGAACCAAAAATTCTACATTTTCATTTTAGTTCAATTCTAGTGAAATATGTTTAATATGAGCCGAATAAACATACTATGAAGTTTCAGCTCAATTGAAGCAAGCATCTCCGAGATATTCGCAATTAAAAATTGTCATTTTTTGGCCCTTATCTTTGTAGAGCGGTCGGAAAAATTGTCGGTAAAAACAGGTTGTGACGTTAAAGGGGCTATGTCACCCAACACGCATGCGCGAGCCAATGAAAACAAACTTGAAAAAGACAGCCCAACTTTTTCAAGTTGTGTCGGAGATTTTGGAAGGCTGTTTTTATCTGTCTAAATCTCAGCCATCGTTCGATAGTTAGCGAAGTTTTGTATTAAGAATCATTCTATGGTGATTACAGAACAATTTTTTGGCGTTATTTTAAAATTGTTTGCCTGTGGAATGTTTTTACGTGGATTTACTGTGTCCTCTTATCAGCGGCCGTTGTAATGGCAGAGTTAATGACGGCTACTCCACAATGAGTGATGGAATCTTTGACGGAATCTTCCCTATAGTTCACAGGACCTTTCTATTGAGTTATTTTAGAGGCTGCTGGCTCTTGGATTTTTCTTGTGCTCAAAGTATGTGGACATATAATGAAGCGGCTATCGAGTTGGCGGCGGCCGTTTTTGTAAACGATTACAAGAGCATCAGGCCATGAGTTTCGTGACGAAACTAAACTCCTGGCGAAGGAAACATTCTAAAATTCGGCTAGATTCCTTCTTGTATTTATCTCGATTCACGGCAAAGATAAACACGACCGTTTGCTCGTCCAGATTGTTCTCAACGGACTTAGAGAGGCACCTTAGTACGAGTTAGATCCTGTAAATGCCATGTTTTTGAACTGTTTGTGTTGGAGCATAATTTTGGAAAATAGCAGAGTTTGCTTTCCCTTTTTATCAACGGACTGCTTATAGTGGAGTAGTATACCAATGATGCTGGGTTCTGTTTTTCTCGACGTCGCAGTGATTCGGCACGATCGAACAATTTTGCGCGATAATGTATGTTTCCCTAAGATCAAAACAAAGACTTGGTCTCTTGTTCTATCAGCAT